CGCAGCCCCTCAGAGCCTCGGCGCCGAAGGAGAGAAGCCGCACGCCTCCCCGTGCAGGATGATATTTCTCTAGTGGGCTGCTCGCGTTGCGGTGTCATATCTTCCTCAAGGCTGGCCAAGTTATCCACCTCCTGCTCAGGCAATCTGCCAGATTGGGCACGGAAGTTGTAGGCAAGGCTCGACAGAGGCGAGCATCGATTCGCTTCTGCGGGGCAGTCTCGAGTCATTCGGGTCATCAAAGCCATCCCGATGACTTAATCATTGTGGTTTCCGCTTGTAGCCCGTCGAAGACTCTTTCGCGCGCTATGTTTTGCCCAGGACCCGCCTGAGGCCAAGCCCGCCAGTGCTCTGTCTCCCCAATTAGAGCTTTGCGTAGCCCGCCTAGCTTTTAACCGGAAAAGGCTCGCTCTCGACCCGCAGACCAAAAATTCCTGCCCAGGACGAGGAGCGAGGAGGAGGAGGAGGAGGAGGAGGAGGAGGAGGAGAAAGAGGAGGAGGAGGAGCGAGAAGGAGAACGAAAGGAAGGAGGAGGAGGAGGAGGAGGAGGGGAAGGAGGAGAGGGCTGACCCCTCCCGCCCTGCCCCCCTCCCCGGGCGCCCCTTCCACGGGGCGGCGCGCCCCCGGCGAGGGAGGGGCTCGCTCGAACGCCCCGGGGCGGCGGCCGCGGCCCGCGCGGAGCCGCCCAGCGGCCGGAGCTGCGGCCGCAGCCGCAGCCGCGGCGCCTCCGAGAGGGACCCGCTGCGTCGGTGCGTCGGCGAGGGCCGCCCACGGTCCGACGCGATTCGACTCGCTTGGCTGGCGCGGCGACGCCGATTCGATTCGCCTCCGCTGCGTGTCACCGGCGCCGGCCAGGGCCAGCCGCAGCCAGGCGCGGCGACCCGCTCCCGATCCGGTGTGGGACGGCTCGCGCGCGATCCGATCTGTTCTCGATGCGATCCGGTTCCGCGGTTCGTCCAGCTCAGGTCTGTCGGCGAAGGTGGCTGGAGGAGGGGAGCGAGGATGGTGAGATGAGGCAAGACAAGGCGAGAAAGCCACGCATCCACGAAGGACGCGTGGGCAGAGAGCGCGGTTCAAGAGTTGCCGGAGCGCGGCAAGCGCGCCCAGGATTGGAATGGCTTGGTCACGTCCGTAGTGCAAGTCCCGATTGTTGCCCCTCTCCTTTTTGTTCGGGCCTCTGGGAGAGGGGGTGGTGGCCGTCTCCTATTCTGGCTTTTGGGAGAGACGAGAGAGGCTCATCACCACGGCCACATCCGCCCCGAAATCTTGGTCAGAACCCCCCCAAAACAGGTATGTAAATTTCGAGGGCGGAGGAGGAGGAGAAGGAGGAGGAGGAGGCGGAGGCGGAGGACGAGATGGCGAGAAGGAGCGATGAGGAGGCGGAGGAGGAGCCAGGTCAGACAGCTCGACGGAGTCAGTGGCCGCCCCTGTTTTCCCACTCCATCCCATTCTATTGGAACCAAGGTCGTCGCAGTCGACATTGACGATTTGCAAAGCGTGGGGTTGACCGTGCATCTGGTGTGTGCGCGCCGATGTGTTCGTGCGCTGATTGCGCCGCGTCTGCACCATGTATAAAGTATAATTATCCAGCTGCCTGAAGAAAGCTCCGCCAGTGTGCCAGTCCAGCATGTTGGGTGGCGACTATTCGAGGGGGCATGGGAGGCCGTCAAGTGTGACACTTCGAGTCTCTTGAAGGTTCTGGGGGCCTCTTGAGTCTTGCGGGATTATTGGGGACCTTTTGGGGTTTCTTGACAGCGCTTGGGCCGTACGGGTGATTTCAAAGTCCATCTTGGGGGGCTCTCTGGGTCGTCACGGGGCTCTCCTGGGGATCTTGAAGGGCGTCCGAGCGCCAATTTTGGCCGACTTGCCTCTTCAGTTTGGGTGCCATTTTGGTGCCCTCCTGGGCCGTCTTGATGCCATCTTGGAGGCTTCTGGGGCTGTCTTGAGCCGACGAAAGCTCAAAACGGCGTGACTGCGAACATCACTCACAAACCTGCAGAACATCCCGGATTTGGGCCTCTTCGGGCTTTGCTGGAGGCCCTATCAAACCGTCCCGAGGGAGCCGTCATGGAGGCATTTTGGACCATTTTGATGTCCTTAGTGGCTTGACAGTTCCGTCTTGGACGTTGAGGACCCCTTGGAGAGTGCCAGGGAGGCGTCTTGGCCGCCCAGGGATCCCCAAGAATAGGGGTAGTGCACGCAGCTGGGCGCGGCGAGGGGGGGGGGCGTCCCGTTGAAGACTACAGACAGCCCGCCAGGCAGCACTGGGCATCGTCCACTCCTCAACGTGCGAAGGCACGGCAGCGGATAGTCGTTCGGCTCTGCGAGCAGAAGAATGTGGCACGCCCAGGCGGGAACTCTCGGCCCGCCAGGCGAACTGCGCTCGGGCGACTGGGCTTTTGTCGTAGCAGACGCTGGGGGGTGGGAGCTGGTGAGTCAGCGCGCCGCTCTGAAATGCTTGTCCCCGAGGAGACGTCTCTACTTGAGATTCTCTGGGGCTCATCTACTACATGCTGGCAATCAAGATACCCGCATGCGGCGGGAACCATCGATCGTCACCATGCTTAAGAAGCTGTGATTCCTTATCGCCGAACACATACAAGCCAACTTCGCTGCTTGGTGTTGGAAACAAGGTGTTGACAAGTATGTGTTTGGAATTGTTTGAATCATGTTGTTGGGACGGGTAAACCTTTTCAGAGAGTATAATTATGGTTTTCGCTGTCGGCGGGGCACGATCGATGTTCTTTTCTTGGCGCGCTGGCTTCTGGACGCAGCTTTGCATCTTGTCATTCTCACCAGTTGTTGGATCGGGGTAGCGCGATCAGCCGACACAAAGCAGGAGGATTACTGTCTGCCTTTCGCCACTTCCGCGTCCCTCCAGCGATGGGCAAAGTGGTGCAGGCGATCTATTGGACCAGGAAATCCGTTATCAAAGATGAGAACACAAACGCAACAACGAGAACCCGGGCGGCGGGCATAGCACAAGGATGCCCAGCAGCACCATAATCTCTCATGATCGTAGTGTCTGTGGTCGTGGAGGCCGTCGGCGAAAAACATGATAACTCTGACTAGGATGACGGTTCAGATGAGTAGGTGGCTATCGAGGGTGTCTTGTATGCCGAAGACACGGTGCTCGTAGATACAAGCCCAGGCGCGTCGAACACAATGTTGTCGGAAACTTGTTCACACGCACATGTTGCAGGTCTTGGCGGGAACCCAACGACTGAGCTTACATGACGGCTCAAGGAAGAAGGGGGGCATTCGATATATTTGCACAGTGTGGAATCACGTCACCACGAAGAAGCCGTACAAAGCAAATGTTTACATTATGGGATGCTTGCGGAATACCAAAGCCGTTGCATGCATTGGAAAGTCACATGTTATTCGTATTTAAATAGATAAGTTCGTTTGTTTTGATGCGAAGCGCATCCGACGTATCCGCAATGTCTCGCCTGCGTACTGTTCACGGATGAGCAGTGTCGCTGAGAGAGCAACATTGAATTGTATTCTTACTACAACGCCAACTTCGGCTGTATGGGAAGCTTGCTGCAGCCTGCCGAGAGGTTTCCAAGGAGCATTCGTTGCTTGTGACGGGAATTGTAAACGACCCGCTGCCAAGAGATTCGGGCTGTGCTCGCGCCACGGGCGCCCGCGTCCGCAGTGGACGAGTAGTCTGTGTACAGGCGGCTGGGAACGACCCAGATCGTTTGCGGCTTCTCTTGCACGGTCTTCAAGAGCATTGGCTTTGGGCCGTATAACAATATTGCCGATAGTCCTTCCCCTCCCCTCCTCCCCATATCCCTCCTTTCCTGCTTTCGCCTTCTCCGCCCCACTTCCCCCCTGTTTGGGCTGTCCGGCTCGCCCTCGCAGGGTGTTGGAACAAAGTGTCGGGCGCATGTTTCTCGAGGTTCTGAATCGGTTCGGCTTATTCGCGAGTCTCTCCACGGTTGCAACTGTGTAGGCTTGTCTTCGGGCTTCTATGTTCTGCCAGTGCGCCGTCGGGGCGCGGGTTGCTTCCATCATTCGTTCGTGGAGGCCTCTCTAGGGAGGCGGCCCGTTGGCATGGCATGGCCATGCTGTGGCATGGAACGTTTTTCAGCGCCTACATCCGGACCCGCGCTGCCGTTGCCACGGATACTCGGTGTCCGTCGAAGCGCACGCACGGAGCCTCAGTAACCCAGCGGCGGACGCACGCCCACCCTAGGCGGGGGCTCGTCCGCCCGGCTTGGGACGCGATGCCACAGAGGATGAACTGTGGAGGCGTGACCCCGTGGCACGCGGGCGAAAGACGAGGAGGGAGAGGAAGGGGAGGGAGAAGTGGGAGGAGGGAGGAGGGAAGATGCGACAGTGAGGACGAGGAGTGCGAGGACTAGGGGGAAGGAGGCAGGAAGAGGCAAAGAAGACAGGAAGAGAACGAGGACACAGAAAGAGTAAGAAAACGAGGATGAGGAGGAGGAAGGAGGAGGAGGATTAGGGGAAGAGTAAACAGGATGAGCAGGGGCTGCGGCAGGAGCAGGAAGACAATGAGGAGGCTTAGGGAGAGTGAGGGATGTCGGAGCCTGGCCAAGTTCTTTTCGAAGAGCAGCGTGTCTCCACAAGATCAGTGTTCAGCAGCGGCGTGTGCCGGATTGGAACGTTTGCACTTGGTGTGTTGATGCTTGCCGCTAATTGGCACCGTCGTTGTCCTAGCACGGGCGTCCGCTTGATGCAGGAGGAGGGGGAGGAGGAGGAGGAGGAGGAGGAGGAGGAGGGGGAGGAGGAGGAGGAGGAGGAGGAGGAGGAGGAGGAGGAATCCGATACACCTCCTTCTGTCCCCCTCCCCGCCCTGTTCCGCCGTGCTGGGCGCGGCCCTGCCCACCGCAGGGCTGGACGGGCCACCGGCCGCTCGCTGCCCCGTCCCTCGCCCGGTGCCCCGTGGGCAGGAGCCTGGCGGCCACCGTGAGGATCGCCGCGGGCAGCGCCTGGGCGGCTCGCGAGGGACCGATGCGCACAAGGACCTGGGAGCCTCCTCCGACGTCCTCCTCATTCTCCTCGTCTTCCGCGTTTTCCTCCCTCCTGTGTCCTCTTCCGTGTGCTCCTCGCCTGCATGGAGCGTGCTTGCGTCCTGCTCCTCCTCCTCCTCCTCTTCCTTCTCCTCCTCCTCCTCCTCCTCTTGCTGCTCGGCATCCGTAGCCACTTTGGCTCAAGGCCTGGGCTTGCAGGCGCGTGCTTCAGAGCGGCTTGCGCTTGCGAGCCCACCTGGTGTCTGCCGCGCTTCGCTCACCTGCAGCCCGCCGCTGCGGAGGGGCCCACATTGGCCTGATGTCCTGCCCGGCGCGCAGACGCCCCTGCGGGGGTGCCGATGCGGATGCTACGACCACCAGGCCTCGCGCGTTCAGTGCCGCCATCGTGGCAGCCATGGAGACAGCGGCAGTGCCTCGAGTCTCCCATCCGCGCGGGCCCCAAGGCCAGGCCCGTGCCTGATCACCATGACCAGCTGCGCCTCATCAAGAAACGCCAGGCCCAGGTCTCCAATTTGTCGTTGTCTGGCATGCCACCCTCCGACACTCCTCCGCCATCGGCGGGAGAGGCCAAAGCCAAGTCAGACTGGCGGAGGAAAAGCTTCGGATAACTACAAGTTTGTGTTGCTCTTCAGGCGCTCGGCATGGAACGGCAGTTCAGCCATTGCAGCAGTGGAGGCAGCGGAACTTAAAGCTACTCACGCTTCAGTCAACGCGGTTCAGTCAATCCTGTGGAAGGTTGAGATTTGTCGCAACAATATTCGGGCAGCTGGAGCAGCGGGCGGCAACGATTCGACACGAGAAGCAGAAGCTGGACCTGCTGGAGTTGGAGGAGCTTCGACATACTGCCGCTGCCCACCGCGAGGAGCTCGACGAGGCCAGAAAGCTGCTGCGCAATGCCCGTTCCAGGCCGTCAGCGCGGGCTTCGAGAGCGAGGTCCTGGAGCCCCAGTAGGGCAAAGGGGCGCTGGCGGTGCTGCAGCCGAGCCGAGGCTGCCCAGGCCAAGGCAGCTGCTGCCCAGGCTGGAGCAGCCAGCGGGGCTGCCGCGTGCGCCGGAGGCACGGGCGACGCCGGTGGCGCAGCGGGCGCGGGCGCGGGTGCGACAGGCGCCGCCCAACCACCTTGGCTTAAGTCGGGCGTGTCCCCTTGCAGCGGGATCTTCGACGAAAAGTAAGAAGTATTCAACAAATATTCCAATGTCAAAAAATACTTCAAAAGTAGTCCCCAGACTATTTTTTGACTATGTTTAAATATTCCTCCTGTAGAGGGACGGGCCCGACTTAAGGCTTGGCCAGCGAGTGTGGTTGAGTCGGAAAACGACCAGATGGGCCCGGAGTGTCCTGGAGAAGTTCGTTCCGGATTTCGAGGTGAATTCCGTGCGGATTCTTGTTGGCCAGGAGTGAGGACCAGAAGGAATCCACGCGAAATTCACTGCGTTTTTCGCTCGCCGCTTCGGGCAGAAATCCACGCAGAAATCCGCTGCAGCACGTCTGCAAGGCCAGTGCAATGTAATCTAGCCTCAAGCGCACAATCGAGGCTGGCGGCGACAGCGCCACGGTGGCTGCCGAGCTCATCGCAGCCAGGGCAGGCATGGTCCCACGCCGAGGGTGGCAGTCTACCAGCTGGTGCAGGTGAAAGGCCCGTCGGCAGAGCCGTCGGCCACAAGGACTGCTTCGACGAGTTCGGGGACGCCCACAAGTTGTTGTGCGGCAAGTTCGGTGCCTGAGAATCCCGACGATATCGTGCCTTCGAGTATCCCCGTCTGCCGCACATGCGGCACATTCGCTGGCGAAGTGTCCAGCGGCCTGCAGGTGGACAGTTGCCGATGTGGCGTGCCCGAGCAAGAGTCCCCGCGTGCGCCTCACTCTCTTCTTTTGACCTTCCTGTCCTGGCCAGGGGGAGTCCCAGCACGACGCGGTGCTCGACCATCGGGAGTTCAGCCGCCCTTGTCGAAGTGGCTCGACCACCACGGCTGGACGCCAAAGCGACTTCGACTTCGCTCGTTGCGAGTGCTGCCAGCGCGCTTTCTGCGTCGGGGGGAAGGGAAGACGGGAGGTGGGTCTGATCACCGGCTTGACTCCATTCCCGCGAACCTCTGTCAGCCACGCGCAGAGGGGGTGAGGGGTGGGGGGAGGGCTTCTTAGAAGCACCCCTGCTTCTTAGAAGGCGCGGGCCTTCTCTATAGATGTAAGGCCGGCGCCTTCTTAGAAGCAGCCTCCTTCTAAGAAGCCCTCCCCCCCTCCCTCCACCCCCTTGTGCGCGCCGCCAACTCTGGCAGCAGGTCCTGCCCGAAGGGCAGGCGGAGGGCCGCTCGCCCCGCCCGCAGCCACTCGGAGGAGGCCCTGCGAGCAAGACGGTGGGCGCACTACGACACCCCGTAATTGCTTACGTCGAGGCCATCAGAGATCTCTGACTCGGGCGAAGCACCCCTCGGTCTCTCCGCAGCCATCATAAGGAGAGAGCGCCACACAACCTCCGCCAACCGTTTGGCACCGGCCTGCCATCTCAAGATTCACCGAACATGTTGTTCATCCGATGCGCAGAGTGCTGTCTCCGCCTGCAGTCGGAGCGAGGTATCAGATCGAGGTACCCTGATGTTCTTCGTGCCTGTTGGATGCTCTTGTGCATCCTGGGGAGTGCAATGTCTGGATGCTCCGTTCGTTCTGGGCGGCGGAGGGCCCCATGTTCTTGAGGGGTGTTCTTCTAGCCTCGGTCCGACTGTACCTCCCGCCTCCCGCCTCCGACCTTCTGCCTCCCGCCTCCCCACACGCGCGATCCCGCGCGCGCGGGCAGTGGATCCAAAGGACTCCGCGGGAGCCCGAGGGCAGAGGTTTCCCCGTTCTGTGGGGGGGGGGGGGAGAGCCGCCGGTGGCCAGGGGGGGGCCGAGGCAGAGGAGGTGCTGCTGGAAGAGGCGGAGAGGGAGGGCGAGGGGGTCCTGGAGCGGCGAGGGGGGGAGGGGGAGAGGAGAGGCAAGGGGGAGGCTGACAGGCAGGGAGAGAGCGCCAGTGGATGCCCTCCTGACTGAGAAAGAGGGGGGGGGGGCTCGTGCAACACGCCCTCCCCCCCCCTTCACGGGGAGGGGGGGGGTGGTTCGGACCACCCCCCCTCCCTTGGAGGGGGGGCAGCCCCCCCCCCCCCCTCCCTTTGCGTCGGAGAGGAGGGAAGGATTTCGGACCCCCCCCCCTCCCCTCCTCTGCGCCGGGCAGGGTCAGAGGGAACGGCCTCTGTGTGTTGGGCCAGAGGATCGTGAGCGACACAGGTTTCCGCCGTGAAAGGTTGACATTAGATGTGTGCATAAAAAACAGATGCTTCATTTGCATAGGATCGTGAGGGTTGAAGACTTGAGAAGACGATGTGGAGGTCATCAGATGTGCATCGCGTATTGTTGTTTTGCGCAGGATTGTGAGCGGCACAGAGTTCCATCGTAAAAGGTTTGGATCGTGTGTGTGTACGCGTGCAGAAGAACATAGCTTTTGCGTCGTATCGTAAAGGTTGAGGTCTTCAGGAGACGATGCACCGATCAGCAGATGTGCGATCGGGATGCGAAGAGCAGCACATCCTGTGCACAGAATCGTGAGGGTTGGCGTGATGAGAAGGCGACATTAAGAGCAGCAGATGTGCACCGCATGGTATTACGGTCGGGGCGTTGACCTAAGGAACCCAAAATAAGGAACGAGGCCCCTTTTTTTCATAAGTTCACCTTCGACTTCCCATCGAAAACTGAAGGGAAACCTTAGGCAAGCTGTGAACCACTTAAGGAACGCGGAGCCCCTCCCCAACGAAAAGGGTTCCTTCTTCAGGGCCCCGACTGTATTCCCCAGCCCTCCTGCGTTGGCTTCTCGTTTTGAGTAGAGCACTGCGGTCGCGACCTTCCTCCCCTCGCCCCCATCCTCCCGTCCCCTCCTACCTGCCTGCTCGGCTGTCGCCGAAAGTCTGGGTGGCTCCTCGCCCACGGGTCGCGTTTAAGGGGCCCTCAGCTGCTGTGTCTTCATCAAAAAAAAGATTCAGATCAGACCTCGCCATCCCTGGGGGGCTGCGAACTGCGAAACTGTCGCTACTGGGGGTCCAGCGGAGTGACGCCTTACGCAGACGTAAATTCGACCTCGTCATCCCTGGGGGCTGCGAGCTGCGAAACTGTCGCCACTTTTCAGAGCTGCTGGGGCTTAGACATCGCCATCCTGGGGGGCTGCGAACTGCGAAGCTGTCGCCACTGTTGAGGGCTCCGGGGGGCTGGGGGGTCCAACGGAGTGACGCCGTATGCATAACCTCATATTCGACCTCGCCATCCCTGTGGGGGCTGCGAACTGCGAACCCGTCGCCATGTTCGAGGGCTGCAGGGAGGTCCATCGGAGTGACGCCTCACGCAAACCTAGATTCGACCTCGTCATCCCTGGACTGCGAACTGCTAAACTGTCGCCGCTTTCGAGGGCTGTTGGGGGGAGTCCAACGGAGTGTCGCCTTACGCAGACTTAGATTCGACCTCGCCATCCTGTGCGGGCTGCGAACTGCGAAGCTGTCATCATCCTTGGGGGTCTGTCGCAACTTTCGAAGTCTGCTGGGGGGTCTGGCGGAGTGACGTCTTACGCAGATTCAGGCTACACCTCGCCACCCCTGGGATGGCTGCGAACTGCGCAACTGTCGCCACTTTCGTGGGCTCCTGGGGGGCATTGCGGAGTAGTGGAGTATGCACACCCAGCCGAGACCTCGCAGTTCCTTGGGGGACTGCGTACTGCGCGACTGTCTCCACTTTCGTGGGCTCCTGGGAGGCACGGCGGAGTAGTGGAGTAGGCGCACCGAGGCGAGACCTCACAGCTCCCTGGAGGACTGCGATCCGTGCAACTGTCGTCACTTTCGTTGGCTGTTGGGGAGCACTGCGGTGCAGGAGAATATGCGCACCCCTCCGAGACTTCACAGCTTCCTGGGCGGTTGCGCATTGCGCAACTGCGCCACGTTCGTTGGCTCTTGGGAGGCACTGCGGAGTGGGGGAGTGCGCGCACCCAGCCGAGAGCAGCTCCCTGGGGGACTGCGAACTGCGCAACCGTCGCCACGTTCGCGGGCTTCTGGGAAGCACGGCGGGGTAGGGGTGTACTCACACCCAGCCGAGACTAGGGCTCATGCCACCTTCGGGTTTAGAGCTCAGGGCTTTGGGCTTAAGCCTTAGAGCTTTGGGCTTAGGGCTTAGGGCGTGTGGCTTACGGCTCAGGGCTGAAGGCTTAGGGCCCACGGCTTAGGGCTGAGGGGTTAGGGTTATGGGGTTAGAATTCAGGGGAAAGGGTCCAGATGTTAGGGTTAGGGTGCTAGTGCTGGAGTGTTAGGGTCAGGGTGTCAAAGTTTGGGTGTTATGCTTAGGGTGTTTGCCTTAGGGTATTAGGATTATGGTGTTAGGAATAGGAGTTTAGGTGAGGGTGTTAGGGCCAGGGTGTTAGGGCTAGGGAGATAGGATTGGGATTCGGGTGTTTGGTTATTGCTGTTAGGGTCAGGGTGTTACGCTTGGGGTTATTGTGAGGGCGGTAGGGTTCGGAGTGGGTGTTAGGGCTAGGTAGGGGTAGGGTGTTAGGGATCGGGTGTTAGGATTAGGGCGGTATGGTTCGGGTTCGGGTTTTAGAGTTAGGGCTCAGGGCGGTAGGGTTCGGGTTAGGGTGTTAGGGTTCGAGTGTTAGGATTAGGGTGTTAGGGTTAGGGTGTTGGGGTCAGGGTGTTAGGGCGTTAGGGTTAGGGTTCTGGGATGCAGGTGTTAGGCTTAGGGTGTCAGGGTTAGGGTGTTGGGGTTTTAGAGGGTTAGGGTTCGGTTGTTAGGGTTAGGGCGGTAGGGTTGAGGGGTAGGGCTCCAGAGCTAGGGCGGCGGCGTGGCCAAAGGCGGGGAGGAGGGGGGGGGGGGGGTAATTTTCGAGTTCAGAAGAGGGGGACAGGTTCAACCCCCCCCTCCTTTTGAAGGGGGCGGGGTCCTGGGACGACGGACCGGGAATAGGGGGGGAGGGGAGCGGGTCCTGGACCCCCCCTCCTTCCTTGGGGCCTCCAGCGGCGCGCCCTCGTAGGCAGGAGAGCGGCCGAAAGCCGAGGAGAGTGAGGGGGACGCGGGGGAGGAGGAGGAGGAGGAGGAGGAGGAGGAGGAGGAGGAGGAGGAGGAGGAGGAGGAGGAGGAGGAGGAGGAGGAGGAGGAGGGAGGAGGAGGAGGGAGGAGGAGGAGGAGGAGAAGGACGAGGACGAGGACGAGGACGAGGACGAGGACGAGGACGAGGACGAGGACGAGGATGAGGACGAGGAGGAGGAGGAGGACGAGGAGGAGGAGGAGGAGGACGAGGACGAGGAGGACGAGGAGCGCGGCCGCGGGGTGGGCGAGCCGAACGCATCGCCAGAGGAGCGCGGCGGGCGGGGCGAGACGGCCGAGGTGGAGCAGGGCGGCCCGAGCGCTGACGCGTGCGCAGGCGGGCGCGCGCCGGACCGTCAGATCGACGCTTTCCTGGCGGAGATCAAGCTCAAGCAGAGGACGGCGGACCCAGACACGGTCAGGCCGTCCTCCTGCTTCCTGCTCCCTCCTGCCTCCTTCTCATCCCACCCCATCCTCCTCCTCATCCTCCTCCTCCTCCTCGTCCTCGTCCTCGTCCTCGTCTTCGTCCTCCTCCTCCGCTCTCCTCCTCTCCTCCTCCTCCTCCTCCTCCTCTCCTCCTCTCCCTCCTCCTCCTCCTCATCATCCTCCTCCGTCCTCCTCTTCCTCCCTCCTCCTCGCCTTCCTCCTCCTCCTCCTCCTCCTCTCCTCCTCCTCCTCCTCGTCCTCCTCGTCCTCCTCGTCCTCCTCCTCCTCCTCCTCCTCTCCTCCTCCTCCTCCTCCTCCTCCTCCTCTTCCTCTCTCCTCCTCCTCCTCCTCTTCCTCCCTCCTCCTCGACCTCCTCCTCCTCGTCCTCCTCCTCCTTCTCCTCCTCCTCCTCTTTTTGTTACGGTAGCCCGACTTAACGATCTAGCCTGTAACGTTTTTGAGCGATTGCGCAAGACAGAAATAAGTACGATTCGGGGCGTTGGTGCCTGGCGGGCGCCGCGGAAACGGGTGTAAAAAGAGAAGCGGCACGGTGGAGAACATTGAGGAGGCGCCAGCCAGGTACGGGATGCAGAATGTATTTTTGGTGAGACATTGATAAGCCTAAACATGGAAACGATACAATACTAGGAGTACGTACAAGCTGCGTCCGTATGAAAAGGTTCAGATAAATTGGACTGGTCCTATGAGCATACTTGGCCAGAGGTCTTGGCTGGCCTGCTGAAGGCATGGAAGGCTGCTGTGCCTACTTATGTTCCTTGTTTTCCTGAGATCAGAAAACGATGACTAGCCTGGAGCAGTAAGCTGGCCAAGGATGCGATCTGGCCTGAACGCCTAAAAAAGCTGTGCCGCTTATGTTGAGGCAGTCTGAGTGCTGATGTGACGCAGATATGTGCAGCCCCCACGCACAAAAAAGTTAACCATCTCCGTCCCTTCACAACTAGAGTCAAGCGTCCAACATTCAAGTGAGCGGCGCCTGCCTGGGAAGCAATTCTTGGGCTGATACCCTGAAGAACGAAACATGTGCTGCTGAGCTTTAGCAGTCACAGGACAGATGCCAGCCCAGTGTGCAATTCTTGGGCTGCTACCCTGAGAGGCAGAGAGAGAAAACAAAAAAAAAAAAAAAAAAAAAACGTGTGCTGCTGTGCTGGAGCCTGTCAAAATGAACTGGTGCCAGTTTAGTGCGAAATTCTTGGGCTGCAACCCTGGAGGTCAGAAAAGGCATGTGTTGCTGTGCTGGAGCAGACAAAAGGAAAGGTGCCGTGGCTGGTCGGTGCAGCCGTCCCCCTCCACCACCACTTGAAATCTCGAGTGTCACCCCAGCCCCCATCCACGTCTTGGATTACGCCTGCGGTACGCAAGAGTAGACGCAGTCGTTGAAACGTCAGGTGGTTGGGCAAGAAAGGCAGTTCTTGGGTTGCTGCCCATGGTTTTTCAGGGTTAACCCCGAACCTCACTGGTCCCAGGGCCCTCGTGTTTTTTGTAAGGTCTTCTCTGGATTAGCACGAACCCAGTACGTCAAGTTGGAAAAAATACATGTCCCTGCTGGTGTTGGGCACTCTGTAGGCTGGCCAGAGATGTTGTCTGGCCTGCTGGCAGCGTGGGCCTGCTGTGGCTTATGCCACTTATACCCTTGTGGGTTAGAAATTGGTGACAGGACTGGAGCATATGTAGGCTGGCCATGGGTGTAGCCTTTGCGCCTAGAAATAACTGTGCCGCTTGTGTTTGGGCAGTCTAGGTGCTGAAGAGACGCAGGCATGAGCTGCTATAAGTGCATGCGTTTCTGGTATGTGCTGCTCCCAACACGTTAGAGTCAAGCGCCCAAAAGGCAAATGAGCTGTACTTGCCTGGCAACGATTCTCAGGTTCCTACCCTAGGGGTCAAAAAAAATGTACCCTTAGCAGTCAACATGATGACCTAGTATGCAATTATTGTGTTGCCATCCTTGTATGAGAAAAAAGCATCGTGTTGCTGTGCTGGAGCAGTCAAAGAGAGAGGTGACCGAGCTGGTCGGTGCTGCCGTCCACCTCCTCCTCTCGAGATCAAACCCGACCACCACCACGCTAGAGTCAAGCGTCAGAAAAGCAAGTGAGCGGTGCTTGCCTAGTGAGCAATTATTGGGCTGATACCCTGAAGGTCAAAACATGTGCTGCTGTGCTCGAGCAGTCAAAGAGAGAGGTGACGACGCTGGTCGGTGCTGCAGTCCTCCCCAACAGACCCTAACCATCCTCCGACCCCAATCCCCCGCCACGTTAGAATCAGGCGTCCAAAAGCAGGTGACAGTGCTGCCTAGTATGCAATTATTGGGCTGCTATTTGTAAGGTCAGAAAAGAGTGCTGCTGTGCTGTAGCAGTCTTGCTTGTGCGAGTCGGCTGGCCAGAGAAATTGGCTGGCCTGCTGAGGTGGCAAAAAAGGCATGTTGTGACTATGTAAGTCCTCCACCTTCACCTCTGTTATGGTTTTTTACTAAGTCCTCCTCCTCCCCCTCCTCCTCCTCCTTTTCCTCCCCGTTCCCCTCCGCGCGCGCTCTCGCGAGCGCCCTCCCTCCCTCCCTCCCTCCCATTCGCCCCGCGCGCGCACGCGCTCCCATTAATGTGCGGGGAGGGGGGTCGGGAGAATGGGGGACACCAACACCATCCCGATTCCACAGGCCCCACCCGATTTCCGGCCGCAGAACTCAGCGGCAAGAGGTCCAAGACTTGGTCCTGCGCGAATCACATAGGCCTGCGGAGGTCGGCGGTGCAAGTCAGCACTCTTCTCCCGGAGGCATGTGCACGTGAGGCTGCCTGGCCGCCCCCTGCGGACTGTCATCGACATGCTCGCCAAGGGCGTCGCCAGGCACGGCGAGGACTTCGAGGACGCTGCCCGCGCCGACGTTGCCCTGCGGCGGCGCGAAATCCTCGAGGAGCTGGGCTGCGGTGGCGAGCGCGGCGCCGCGGTGGACTTTGGCTTCCTGACCGTGCGCCCGGATCGTTGCGGAAGCCTGCCGGAGGCGCAGTACTACCGCTGGAGGGTCTTCGCCTACCTGCAGGGGGACTCCACCCGCAGGCTCGGGTGCTGCCCAGGGTGTTCTTGGCCCGAGGTGTCCCCAGGCTCCCCAGGGAGGCCCAGTTGGCCTCCAGAGCACCCGCCACGAGGCCCAGAGGGCCCCAGCAGTGCGCCGAGGGGCTGGGGGGACGCCCTGGGCCAGGACCACTCCCAGCAGCACCCGGCAGGTGGCGCACCGAGCCCTTCCAGATGTGCCGTGGCGGGGCCACGTGGCACCCGCCGGCGGAGGAGCAGGGCGGGGCGAGCGGGTCCCGCTCGCGCTCCCCGTCGAGGGGCAGGGGGCGGCAGCCCCGGGCCAGGGCGGCCGGGGCGCGGCAGCTGGAGCGCCGGGAGCGCCGGGAGCTGGAGGCGCTCTGGAAGGGCCTGACGCCCCACGTCGGCCCGCTGTGCAGAGCCACGTGCTGGTGCCTCGACCACGCCGACGCCGCCGTGGAGGTCGCGGGCGCGCTGGTGGAGGGCCTCTGCGAGGCGCGCCTGGCGCTGCCAGACCGCATCGCCCGCCTGCTCCTCATCTCCGACGTGGCGCACAACGCAGGGAGCGCCATGGCCCCCGCGGCGTGGTGCTTCCGGCGCGAGTTCGAGGGCGCACTGCCCCGGGCCTTTGCGCGGCTGCGGGGCCCGTACAGCGCCGAGCCCAGCAGCTCGGCGGCCGACAGGGCCAGCGACCAGGTGCTGCGGGTGCTGCGCTCCTGGCAGGACCGCGCCGTGTTCCCGGCGCAGTTCGTGAGGGGCCTGGAGGCGGCCTTCTTCCGCGACGTGCTGTCGGCGGCGGGTTTCCTGGAGCCGGGCGGCGCCCAGCGCCTGCCGGAGGCGGTCGCCGCGAAGCTGGCCGAGTGGCGGGCCCAGCACTTCAGCCAGCTCGAGAAGGTCGGCAAGTCTCGCGGCGTCGACTGGCAGACGTCGCACCTGGAGCGCCCGGCCGGCGGCCGCGCGCTGGAGGAGGTGCGCAAGGAGTGGCTCCTGGACCGCCTGCTGACCTACGAGGTTCAGGAGGAAAAGAAACACACAGACACAATGAATCGTCGATTGCCTAGAAAATATGGGAAAAATATCCTGGCAAAGCAACCTAACAGCTATGAGTATAAGCATATCTGGAAGCATTCCTGCTGTTCTCGCAGTCGCAGTCGCAGTCGCAATGACAGTCGCAGTGGCAACGGCCTTAGGATCCAATGGAATCCTAAGGATTCCTAGGGATTCCTAAGGCATCCTTAGGCATCCTTAGGAATCCATAGGAGTCCTTAGGAAACCTTAGGAATCCTTAGGAATCCTGATTCCTATGGATTCCTATGGATTCCTAAGGATTCCTGGGGAATCCTAAGGATTCCTACCTGAGCCTGCCTCGGCCTCAGCCTCAGCCTGCCTCAGCCTCAGCCTCAGCCTGTCTCAGCCTCAGCCTGCCTCAGCATAAGCCTCAGCCTCAGCCTCAGCCTGCCTCGGCTTGCCTCGACCTCAGCCTCAGCCTGCCTCGGCCTCAGCCTCAGCCTCAGCCTGCCTCAGCCTCAGCCTCAGCCTGCCTCAGCCTCAGCGTGCATCAGCCTCAGCCTCAGCCTGCCTCAGCCGCAGCTTGCCTCAGCCTCAGCCACAGCCTCAGCCTCAGCCTCAGCCTGCCTCAGCTTCAGCCTCAGCATCAGCCTGCCTCGGTTTGCCTCAGCCTCAGCCTCAGCCTGCCTCGGCTTGCCTCGACCTCAGCCTCAGCCTGCCTCGGCCTCAGCCTCAGCCTCAGCCTGCCGCAGCCTCAGCGTGCATCAGCCTCAGCCTCAGCCTGCCTCAGCCTCAGCGTCAGCCTCTCAGCCTCAGCCTGCCTCAGCGTCAGCCTCAGCCTCAGCCTGCCTCAGCCTCAGTCTCAGCCTGCCTCAGCCTCAGCCTGCCTCAGCCTCAGCCTCAGCCTGCCGCAGCCTCAGCGTGCATCAGCCTCAGCCTCAGCCTGCCTCAGCCTCAGCCTGCCTCAGCTTCAGCCTCAGCCTGCCTCGGCGTGCCTCAGCCTCAGTCTTAGCCTGCCTCGGCCTCAGCCTGCCTCAGCTCGGGCACTCAAAATATGGCACAGGAGTGGTGTTCTGGGAGCACGAAGATCACGAAGTGGCCTACAGTTGGCTCCGGGCATTCAAAGTGTGGCCTGGGAATGGTGTTCTGGGAACACGAAGAACACGAAGTGGCCTACAGTTGGCTCCGGGCATTCAAAATGTGGCCTGGGAATGGTGTTTTGGGAAGACGAAGAACACGAAATGGCCTACAGCTGGCTCTGGGCATTCAAAATGAGGCCTGGGAATGGTGTTCTGGGAACACTATTCCCAGGAATCTATAGGAATCTATAGGAGTCCTGGGGAGTCCCTGGATTCCCCCGATTCTCCCGGCACCCGCCCAGACCCCCCTAGGGAGTCAAGATGCTTTCTTTTGACCCCACTAAAAACCTATCAGTCTTCGCTTTTAGGTAATATGGGAAGTGGGTAGGAAGACAGAAACCTTGAAAATATTCGAAAATATTGGGAATCTGGTTATTTGTGTCTATTTATTTGTGTGTGTCCCAGGGCCCCTTCAGAGGTGTACGCCTGGGAGACGCGCGCCGCAGAGCCGCCCGCGGACGCTGGGCCGGCGGAGCACCCGCTGGTGACGGGGGGCCTCCTCCTCCTCCTCCTCCTCCTCCTCCTCCTCCTCCTCCTCCTCCTCCTCCTCCTCCCTCCTCCTCCTCCTCCACCCTCCTCCTCCTCCTCCTCCTCCTCCTCCTCCTCTCCTCCTCCTCCTCCTCCTCCAGCCGCCGCCACGGCTGAAGGTCGAGGGACACGCGGCCCTCCCACCCTGTTCCATCGCCCGCCAGGGGAGCAGCGCGCGATGCCCACGCGCCCGCGGGGCCCAAGAGGCCCATGATGGAGGCTCTCCTCTTGCTCGCGGCCGTCGGCTTCTCGCCGCGGGCGGCCGCCTACATGTCGACAGGCGCTTGCCGCGCCCCTGGACGCACTCAGGAGCGAGAGCCTCAACCTGCTCAGCACACCAGGCTCTACGTGTACAACCCTCTCTACCTGACGGGCAGCACCCGCGCGCAGGAGATCACCTGCGAGCACTACATGGGCGTGATCCTCTTCCCTGGGACGAGCCGCCGCCCGACACTGGACGGCCGCCACAGCCTCTTTCAGCACGACTACCACTGGGAGCTCTCCTTCGGCTGGACCAACAAGAGTTGTGGGGGGAGCATCTTCCTACATCAGCGGTTTCCGCAGGCACACCTACGTCGGATCTACCCTCCGCCCGCGGCGCTCTCGGGCCGCTGCGGCGCGACAGTGCCGCTCCTCGGACGTGCTCCTCATGGTTCGGCACCTTTCCGTGCCATCCGAGTCCTGCTCCAGCCGCAACTCGTACCGCCAGGTGACCCAGGCTATGATCTCGCGGGCACGCACCACGCTGGAGTCTGTGGGCAGTCGACGCACGCCCTTCAGCAGGGCGGACCTCAGCTCGGCGACTCCGTGGACGAGACGTTTCTCGGCCCCCCGTCCCTGCTCGAGCCCGACTTGTGGAGCGAGGTCGACAGCGCCGTGGGCCCCTTCCTGGAGCTGGAGGGCCTTTCTGGACGTCTTTGGCAACGGTTCCTCTCGGACCACGACACCTTCTTTGTCAGCGGGGACACCTTCATCGGGGCGCACGGACGGTCACGCAGGATCGACTTCCTCCACGCCCCGTGCAAGTGCAAGGCCCCCAGGGGAGCAGGACGCCGCCTCAACACATTGTACGATCGAGACCACCGCTCTGTCTACGCGGGCGACATCTTCGAGGCCCACGCGCAGCACACCTGGGACTACGACACGATCATGTTTCGTCTGGAGGGCGCCCTGAAGTCGCGCGACCTGCAGCAGGCGGTCACGTTCCTCCCCAAGATGGCGCGCCAGCACGCCCAGCAGCTCAGGGACCTCGCGGCCTCGGAATGGATCAGCATCGTGACCCCGCCCACGGCTACTTCGATCGCCGCAGCTCGGGAAGCGGGCAAGATGTACGCAGAGGCGGTGCAGGTCCCCGAGGCGAAGCCCCAAATCACCACATTTGTACACCGCTCACGCCGAGTTCAAGTACCCGTCGGCCTCCGTGGAGCAGGAGGCCCAGCAGGGGCACGTGCTCCCGCGTACCTTCTACCAGCAGTTCGTTTGCATGGGGACGGGCTCGGAGCTCTGCTCCACCTCAGGCTGCGCACGCGCCACAACGACCGGCACACCAGGATGCAGTTCGCTAACGCGGACCAGATCACACTGAAGAGCGTCAACCCAGACGGCCCTCGGGAGACATGCCTCGACGTTCTGGGCGGCCGCCAGAAGATGGGGACGGCCCCTTCTGGGCCACCTGGAATCGATGGCCCAGAAACTGCTAGACAAGAGCCGCCAGATCCACTACGGCCAGAAGGGCTGACATGGGTGGCGGATCCTACGGAAAGAGATGGGCGACCAGCACACTACGTGACGACGCGAGTCCCTCCAGCAGCTTCGCTGTAGCACCAGGCCCCTCTAGTCGCTCTCGCCGCCCCTGGTCTCCAGGGCGCGCCGTCGGCTCTTTGTTTCGGCCTGGTTGTTTTTCCTTCTCGGGGCCTCTGGGTGTCCAGGGAGCCTGCTCGGTGCTCTCCGCGCCGTCGAGCTCGGCCCCCAGGGGCCAGAGGGGTATCACCCCCCGCCCGCGGGCGCCTTCCTGTTTCCTGTCCTGCTCGGCTCTGATCAAAGGTGATCACAGCTGCACGGCGCGCCCACACGCCTGACCTCGTTCGGTCCGAGGAGATCGCACGACTGCTCAGAGGTGTCCCCGAGCGATCTCTCGTTTCGTGAGCTCGAGGGGTGAGCGTCTTCAGACTCACAGCGCAATGCCGAGTCCATCCATCCATCCATCCATCCATCCATCCATCCATCCACCCATCCTCCTCCTCCCCTTTTTCCTCCTCCTCCTTCTCCTCCTCCCCTTTTTCCTCCTCCTCCTCCTCCTCCTCCTCCTCCTCCTCCTCCTCCTCCTCCTCCTCCTCCTCCTCCTCCTCCTCCTCCTCCTCCTCCTCCTCCTCCTCCTCCTACTCATCCTCTTCCTCCTCCCTCCTCCTCCCTCCTCGCTCTCATCATCCTCACGGCGGAAGCATCCTCAGCCCTTTCCACCCTTCCCTTTTCCCGCATCTCCGCCCCATCCTCATCATCATCCTCGCGTTGCTCTCTCCCCTCCTCCTGCCTTTTCCGTCGCCCCCACCTCGGTTTCGTTACTCCACGCCCCTCTCTTTCTCCTCTTCCGCATCGTCCTCTACCTGTTCCTGCGTGTCCTTTTTGTCCCTCCTCCCTGTCCCCCACCCTTCCTACCCTGAAGGTGGGCATGTCCTTCTATAGGACGAGCATTAAAATATTGCCAAAAATGGTCTGGCGACGACTTTTCGAATCTGATATTACTACTTTTGCATCGTTTCTTGCGTCTTCATTAT